GTGGTGCAGTCTGTCCGCCCCATCCCCCGCCATGCCAGCCCACACGGCTAAGAACCCCTTAGGCTGGGAATAACATCTCACCCTAGGTCTCCTGCAGTCTGATGACTGGTAGCTCTAGATACTACCCCCTTCCCCTGAGCATTGAAGAAGAGCCAGGCTGAGGCCTGCTCTTCACCCTCTTTCCTGAAGACACCCTTGCATCTCCATAAATCTTGCATTTTCTCATTTGCTTGCTCTTGACTTTGCTTTGCTTCCCTTGGGGTCTTGCTTTGTAGCCCAGGCTGGCCTTGAACTCCTGATCACCTTCCTGCTGGGATGGCAGATTCGCAGCACAGAGCCTGGCTTCCATCTCTGTTTCTCCTCCCAGTACTAACAGGGTCTCGCTTGGCTTAGCTTCTGAGGTCAGGTGAGGTCGGGCGCATTCAGGGTGGTATGACTGCAGATCTGTCTTTGTTTCTTACGATGGGTCCTGCACACTTTGGCACAACTTTGGCCAGATATTCCAAACCCAAACTTTTCAGTAGAACACAACGAAAGGAGGAAAGAGGCGGCTGCAGAGTCAACTGTGCCTGACATGATGGCTACAGCTGACATCAAGACAGCCAGCCTGCCGTACTTCTGAGGAGCCCAGTGCGGTTACTCCGTGAGCTGTAATTAAGTTCACCTCTAATCTGATACTCGAGACTGGCTGACATGAGAGAGAGTAATTCTCAGTGAGAGCAGCATAGTTCCTGGACTGCAGCATCTCTGGAATCCTCATTCACTTTCTCTCTTCCTCCCTCCATCCCCCCCTCTGCTCTCCCTTCTAACACAGATCCAAGGATGTGAAGGCAGAATGGCCCCCAAGCCCTGCCTTAGAATCTTTCCTGCCCCTGTTCCCTGCCCCCTCACATCAGGGCCATGGTCATTCGACAATACCTTGGACACGGCGGAAGAATGTGCCACAAGACAGAGAAGGTTGACTTCTGCAGACTTCTGCTCTGCCTTCTGCAGACTGTGGGCTGGGAAGAAACAGGCCTTAATGCTACCACCTCGTCCACTGCTGTCACTGAGTTAAGTCTAGCCCAGGCCTAGGGTCCCAATGGAGACTAGGGGAATAGGAAGGAGTCCTGGAGACAGAAACTGGAATGCTGTGATTGCTTTGGCACTCTTTCTGACTATGATCTCCCATAAATCATGCCACCTCCCTAAGGCTTTGGTTTCTTATCTGCAAAATGGGCATAATGTTCCCCATTATTAATAAACTGCTTACCATGGAAGGAGATGAGAGACAACAGTTGTGAGGGTGCATGCCTTTGTGAGCAGTTGTTAGCATCTCTCCAGAGATGAAAAGCTCTTGGCTGCCTGAAGGGAACTCAGATGACCCTCTAGCCCATAATGTGTCATCTGAGTACATGAGTGACAGGGTAATCATGGCTGATATCAAAGTGTCTGGAAGCCTTGTCAAATGCGGGACCTGGGCTTTGAATTTGACTTAGCCACTTCCAAATATCAAGAGGATTGAGATTTAAATTGTTCTGTGAAGGTCTGGGTCAGAGCCAGGTGCCAAAGGTTAGACAAAGGAGGCAGGGTTGGCCCCATCTTTGGATAAATCTCTGACCCAAGGAAAGACTTTCCTGGGTAATGAGCCCCTGTCAGCAGCAGGGTTCAAGCTCTGAGGCAAGCTTTAATGATTGTGCATACCAGAAAGACTTTTTACACCTAGGTTGGCTAGGTGATCTCCGCCAGAGTCCCAGTGCCTCTTTTGAGCTCTCTAAGCTCCAAACCTATCTGTCCTGAGCTCTGTCCCCATGCCTCTCAAGTCCCTGGGGGTGTGGGCTCAAGTGTTTCTAGAATCTGCCCTCTGAAATGCCCACTGGGCACAGGTGGGCTCTGCAAAAGCATGCTGCTTGCAAAAAGGTAACTGGAGGATTTCCCCCTCCCAGGGAGCCATGCTGAGAATGCCGAGGGGGTGGGGGAAGCTGGTTTGTGTGGCCATGCTCTGTGATCATTACTGTGCATGAGCCTAAAGATTCCTCTCACTGTTACATAATTGAGGTATTTTTTTCCCCTCCTTATTTTAGATTCCGGTGCCATCTGCCCCGCTTTTCATGCATGCCTAGTTCTGGGCTGGAGGTGAGCTCAGGCTCTGTCCCTCACGTGATGAGGGACTTGGGGAAAGCCTGTTACCTTATCTGTAAACTGAGATCTTGACCCCACCCTGCCTACCTGCCTGGGCAGCTGGGAGGATCAGGAGGTGTAACTGGCTGGGTAAGTCTGTCTGGTACTGTACACAGGCGTCTGCTTGTTAACCTCGTTCCTCAAGCTGGGAGAATGTGCTTGCTCACCTGTCTGAGGAGGGTGCTCCCAGATTTGCAAAGCACAGCTGAAACACAGGAAGTGAACAGACCTCACAACGGGAGGCTCAGGACTGCCTGCCGTAGGTGGCAGGGGAACAGCCCTATCAGCATGTGACAGGCAGGGCCAGGCTGTCTTGTCACCTGCTCGCAAGGCCTCTTGGCCTTGGGGCAGAATGTTAAGCTCAGCACAGGATGACTTAACAGACAGAAAAGCCCATATCCAGCCATCAAAGGTAGGTTCATGCTAGCCGTAGCAGGCCAGGGGCCTCAGCTCAAATCCTAGGTAAAACAAAGAATGCTAGGCTCCTGGCTAGACTGGTCAGCTCGGCAGTTATAAAAACATGCCATCGGTAGAGGACTAAGCAACAAAATACATGTTCACATAACTCTGGAGGCTGGACGTTCTGTCCCCACCCACTGATACTGGGTGAGTCACGTTCCTCTTTGGGGCCTCGGTTATATGACCTTTAAAATGGGAACAACCTGTGATCCGCCCACCTCACCTGTCTCGTAAAGATCAAAGGCAGTTCCTGTGTCCAAGCAGGCCGGTCATGGTAACAAGTGAAGGTGAGCTGGGAGGTCTGAATCACCACTGGGACTGTCTGGAAGGGAAGCACCCTGGGCTTTTGTTTTCTGAGACAGGGTCTCAATGTGTCGTCCAGGCTGACTTGGAACTCACTCTGTAGACCAGGGTTATCTTGAACTCACAGAGATCGGCCTGCTTCTGCCTACCAAGTGCTGGAATTAAAAGAGCGTGCCACCATGCCTGGTAACCTTGGACTTTTTAGTTGATAGAATAAAGATTAAAAATCAGGGCCAGCAAGATAGTCAGCATAATTGTAAGTAAAATAAAATAAGCCACAACAGCCTGACCAGGCAGTCCTCTTCTGCAGCTTAAGATCCCGGTGTAGATTCTCTGGCATTCAGTTTATTGCTACTTGGGACTCCTGGGAAGTTATGTGTCACCTCCAATCCCCTTCTAGTTCCCAGTGACGGGTGGACACACGAGTGTAACTCCAAGTCACTCTCCAAGTGTTACAACCAACCTCTTTATTAGGCATGAAAACAAATTCTCCCAAGGTGTAAAAATGCCAGGGGAAGGCTCCAGCTGGAGGCAGTCCTGCGGTACAAAAGCATCTCACTGTTAGGGAGTGCGAGCCATCAGGGGTCCCTCTCTGGGCCCCGAGACCTAGCCTCCCTCTTCCCTTTCCTCCCAGACCCTATCTGCCTTGCCTGAAGATAGGAGCTGGAACACAGCGCCTCTGTTTGAACCCAGAAGGGTCAAAAACCCCAAAAGGCAGGCTGAATTTGCTCTCTGGGACCCTTTTTGCCTCAACACGGCTACACGTGGCCGCGTGTTCTAGCTGCCTAGGTTCCTTTGCTCTCTCTATGCACTGGGCTTCAGGTTCAGGCCAGACAGCTCCTTAGGAGTGTAAGATCAGTGTTTCCAAAGGGGTTTCTCTTTTTTCTTTGTTTCCAGGCAGTGTCCAAGTAGGTGGTCAAATACTCTTGGAAAGACCTCAGGCTTGTATGAAAGGGAACGCCTGAGCAGGCTCTAGCTGAGGAGGCATGGCTCCCTCTAGTGGCAGGACTAGACTTCGCAACAAAAGGCACAAATGATTATTTAAATATGTAAAGTTGCCCAAGGTTTGATGCCACCTGCAACACAGCTGTACTTGGTTTGGATCCAAATACCCAGACCCTGGACAACTGAGGGACAAGCAGCCTTCAAATTCAAACCTTCCTTGATTGGTAACACTGACTGCCTAGTGGTGTTTCAGCTTAATTAAGAAGTTCATAGTTTGCCGGGCGGTGGTGGCACACGCCTTTAATCCCAGCACTCGGGAGGCAGAGACAGGCGGATCTCTGTGAGTTCGAGGCCGGGCTGGACCGACAGCCTCCAAAACAATACAGAGAAACCCTGTCTCGTAAAAACAAAACAAAACAAAAAAAAAAGAAGTTCATAGTTCATAGTAGGAAGGAGAGGTGACTACCCTGAAGTCCTGTGGAACACGTGTGTGCGTGCGTGCGTGCGTGTGTGTGTGTGTGTGTGTGTGTGTGTGTGTGTGTGTGTGTGTGTGTGTGTGTGTGTACCACATGAGACAAGCAGGTAACTAGACCCATTGCTGGGAAGGTGTCTCAGTGCCCAGTCTTGGCACTACTAATTTGTCTACAGCCCCAAAGATAGCACCAATCCCCGTGCAAGGCGAAACCAAACCACACTCCTAGGCAAAGCACCCAGATCTAACTCGAGTCTTCAAAGAGGGTGGAGAATCTCGGCTGGCAATGTCTAGATCCCCCAACCCCAGCCAGCTGAGAGTCAGTGGCTGCTGGCCACCAGTCACGTCATGCCATGGACGTGCAGAGATCACACAGTGGCACCTGGTGGGACTATCTCAGGAGAAGACACACTTCGGGCCAGAGGAGTCAGGGACTCAGGGGTCCAAAGTGTCCCCAGAACACAAATGTGATGAGGTTTTTTTACAGCAATGCCAGAACATGAGTAGGACCATTTGGGCCCAGTGAAAGAGGTATTTTATATGCAGATCACAAGATCTGCAAATTCTTCATGCACACAAGGAAAAAAATCTGTTCTTCATGCTCATGAGACTTGCTTAAGGAAAAATATTTTGAATGGCTTTAAAATGATTTTGGATTCTATTATAACAATCTGTTTTTAATATAAAGATATATCCAACAAATCTTTGTATAAAATCAGCTTGGGGTAGGTAGAAGCACCATGTTGAACCTGAGGCTTAGGGCCCCCCACCTGTTCCCCCACATCTGTGAAGGCCCAGAACCATTCACCACGTGCACAAGTAAGGTTAATGCTAAAACAGGTCTTCCTAAGACAGTGGATAATCCACAAGTGTAATCAAAGGTAACTGTACGAACTCCCCTCATCCTCCCTCCCATCAGATGCCCTGGTCACAGGGACCTCTGCAGCTCTTCAGTGTATGTAGATCATGTCAGAGATGGCCCCTGGAAAGTGGGTCATGATCTGCATCCGCAGCCACCAGTAGTAGTCCATGGGATGGTAGCGGGTATAGGGGGTGGCAGCAGTCAGGGCGTGTGTGACAGCATCGATGACAGAGGACGTGTCTGTGGAGCCACTGTTGCAGTAGGTCTCCATCTTGGCGATCTTCTCGTCAAAGTACTCCTTGCCATAGTCCTTGCGCACGACCTCAGGAAGCTCATCCCACATCTTCTTGGCAATGGCCTGGATACGCTCAGGGCTATAGAGACTGGTGGCAGCAATGAAGTTGCCGGGCTCCACCACACTGACCTTCACACCCAGAGGGTGCATCTCATAGCGGAGGCAGTCAGAGAAAGCCTCTACACCAAACTTGGTGATGCAGTACGGCGAGCGGGCGGGGTTGGCCATCCGGCCCAGCATGCTGCTGATGTTAACAACACGGCCTACAGAAGACAGCAAACATGTGCTCAGGTGGCATTGCCCTGTGACGGGGTGGCCTGGCAGGGACAGCTTTAGAACCATCCAGAGGCAGGGGGCCTCCGAGGACCATCTAGCTAATCAGTGTCCCCAGTCTTCCTCGAGGACTCTGCTGCGCCAGGCAGGACCAGGGAAGGGGGAACAAATGGGGAACAAGCCTGTGCCCCAGGAGGGTGCAGCGGAGCAGGCAGCACACAACCGACTGACCACTAGCCTGGCGATTACACCGCGGGTGGAAACACACTGGGCGCGAGACAGACATGGAACGGCTATGTCTGTGTGAGCCTGTGCGTCCTCTCGAAGCAGGGTCTGATGCTGACTGGGGAGAAACACAAACCAAAACCTTCTCCTTCCCCTCGGAGAGCTTAAAGCTCAGCTTCCCCAGTCATGTACTCAGAGAGGAAGCATGGTGAGTCCAGATGGGTACCGGCTGCTGGCACAGCTGGGGACGGAGATAGAGAGCAGAAGCCAGAGTGCCCAGGATGAGGCTGGCAAAAGGGAGCCTAGAACACCCCCATCCCAGAAGAGAGGACCAGGGTGGGTGGGCTGTTCCCAGCACCAGGGCCAGAAAGAAGTGGGCTGGAGCAGAACCAGGGGCTGGATTTCCAAAGCTGATTTCAAGGCTGGACCTGAGGTGCCATTGCCTGACTCGGGCATTAAGAGAATGGTGACTTCAAAAGCATTCTGTCACAGCCCCGCCTGGGAGTGTAGGCTCATCACAACTTCTCCCATCCTGGTGGGTTTGGGGTAGATCCCACTCAGCCCAGGCTGACCTGGGTCAGCTTGCTAAGGAGTGCCCCCCAACAAACATCCCCTAAGTGTGAGGTCACTGAAAGCTGGGGCTTCCTCTTGAGACTACAGGCTGATTCCTGTTCTTTCCTATGTTGCCAAGACCTGGGGATCTGGTACCTTTTGTCACATCGCCTTGCTGTTCCAGGGAGAAAAGTCAGCCCTCGTGACTATAGATGGTTTTGTAGATGTACGGCTATTTTTATGTGATTTGGGCATTGTGTCTGTTCTCCAGTCTCCAGTCTTGTTTGAACTGAATAACAGTGTCTCATTTTTTCAGCCATGGAACATGCTAACGCTTGTTTAACATTACACTGGGTATAACAGCATGTAGACACAGCTGGTACACATGGGATTGCTTCTCCAGAATTGGTTCTTAGAGGGCAAGCCGCTATGACCCATAAGCCCTGAGGGCACAGACCACTGAACTACCTTTTTTGTGTGTTTTTGAGAGAGGGTCTCATTATGTATCCCAGGCTGACATCAGCTCAAGATCTTCCTGTGTCCGTCTCCCCAGTGCTGGGTTACAGGTGTCCACACCATCCCAACTCAGCTGTTCTACTTCCAAAAGCTGCAGACCCCTCTCCCCTACCCAGCCATACACTTCTGCTCATCACCATTCCCAAGCCCCGCCTGGCTTTGAGACCCATGCTCGCTACTGTGGATGTTAGCTCTGACAGGTCTGGTGTTTCCAATCTGAACAGGAATGAAAAGGTTGGGCGGGTATGGGGGGTGGGCAGGAAGAATCTCTTCCCAACTCACCTTTGGCTCTCCGGAGAAGCGGGAGGAAGGATTTGGTTGTGCGCACTGTGCCCCAGAGGTTCACTTCTGCCACTTCCTTATACGTCTCCATGCTGGTGAACTCCACCTCTCCAAATGTGGAGATGCCCGCATTGTTAACCAGGCCCCACATTCCTGGACAAAAGAGGACACAGTCGGTCACGTGTGGGCTCAGATGTCACCAGCCCACCTTCGCTCTTTACTCTGATCTATCTTTCTCCCATGACTCCAGCCTCTTGACTAAGGCTCTCAGGAAACAACACTTTTAGAGTCAGTCAAGGATGATGGAGAGAGGGAGAGAGAGAGAGAGAGAGAGGGAGAGAGAGAGAGAGAGAGAGAGAGAGCGAGAGAGAGCGAGAGAGAGAGAGAGAGAGACGCGCGCGCGAGAGAGAGAGAGAGAGAGAGAGAGAGAGAGAGAGAGAGAGAGAGAGAGAGAGAGAGAGCGCCAACAACATCGTGGCTGAATAGAATGTCCCTTTGGTAGAGTCCAGGCTGCCTGACACTGCTGACTGAATCAGTCCTCAGCCTTGTAAGATTTTCTCCTGCATCTTGCTCCACACCAGCACTGTACGGGTTGGTTTTGTCAACCTGATGAGTATCTGGGAAGAGGTAATAGTAACTGAAAAGATGCCTCCATAAGACCTGCTTGTAGGCAAATCTGTAGGGCGTTTTCTTGTGGGTGACACAATGCCTTTCCAGGTGGTATGTAAGAAACCAAACTGAGCAACTATACAGTGCCAGCCAGCAAGCAGCATCCTCCATGGCCTCTGCTTCTGTTCCCGCCTCCAGGCTCCTGCCTGACTTCCTGCCCCAACTTCCTTCACAGAGATGAGCCCTGATGTGTAAGTTTATACACCAAACAAACCCTTCCCAGTGTGCTTTTGGTCATGGTGTTTATCACAGCAACAGAAAAGTAATGAAGACAGGATTTCCCTCTCCTCCATATGACCTCAAGTCTACACCCTGTACCCTGTTCATTCAACTCAGCTATCGTTTCTACTGCCCCTCTGGCCAGCGGCCAGGGAAACCTCGGGAATTTTCCAAGCCAAGCTCAGAGAAGGGCCCAAAACTTCAAGGTCACCCATAAAGTTATGGGCTCTGCTGCCAGGCCTTGTTCATGCTGAGGCGCCACCCCACTCCACAGGGGTCTCTTAACAATCATCTGTTCTCTCGTGCTCCTCTCCTGAGCGTGCTGGGGGTCACACATTAAAGGACGTGGCTCGGTCCTTTTTGCCATTGTGTCTCTTCTCGCCCTCTCCTGAGACTGTGTGACAGTCCAGGTCTGAGAAGACGCCTATTCTCACAGCTCGCTGCAGCTGACTGTTTCACAGAGCAGCTAAGGAACAGCTGGCTTTTGTAGACACAGACAGTGTTGGTTCTGGAAAGTTGCTGGAGTTTATTTTGTCTTAACTATTTTTGCAGCAGGGGAAACCAAAGCTGTCAAGGGAAAAGACAGATTTAAGTCTCATCATTAAGTCGGAGGCAGAGTTGGACCCAAGCCAAGGGAGCTTAGCCTGTTTTCCAGGGCTTGTTTTGAGTTCAGCTTTTGGGGTGTAGGAAGTGGATGGGTGAATGGATCAGAGCCTGGGCAGAGTGGGGTCGCTCCTCTTTGTTATGGAGGCTCTCAGGCTCTGGTCTCCTTATGGCTTAATCTCCCGCCGTGAAAAGCTCTGTGCTCCTTGCAGGGGACACCAGGCTTGCTCGCCACCTGTGGGAATGAGGCCTGGGACTCGCTCTCCCAGTGCATCATGGGAATGAGTTTGTGTGAATGGCAGAGTAATTGGTCTCCAGTTGCTTTCCTTCCGTCTTGCCCATATTGAGGCTTGGTCAGCTGACCTCTGGTGCCTTCTCCTTCAATTACAGGGAATTAAGGACATTTATCAAGGAGAGGAAATTGCTGGTTAACTAAATGTCCAAAGAGCTCCCAGGATTCTGCACCAGCTGCCTGCCGGGGCTTCCTGTCCTCATCTCTCGGGCACAGACCCGACAATCGGAGGCACCCCAGAAACCCCACAGCTCCCACATCTGTCTTCTGACTTCCCTGAGGCGCCCCCCGGGGCCCAAAGCCTCGCCAGTGGTCACAGCTAACCCTTAGGCCCACGCCCCTCTCCACACACAGCTGTCGCCCTTCTCACCCTTTTATGTACCTCTCCCTTGACCCAGAGGTCACCCTTGAACTCTGTTAGGAACTCGGTACATTCGTGTTGGGTGACGAACGCCTACAAACACTCCATTTCCACACACTAATGCACTCTTAACCGTGCCACCCAATCTTCCTTCTGAGAACACCCCACTTCTCCATCCTGTCACACCGCTCTGGACTCCAACCTCCATCTAGTGCTCACCATGTTCTCCTATTGCCCGACTCTCCTGGAACAGTTAACACAGTCTCCTATTACACACTTGGAGGAGACCCTTCCAGTGCCTTTGTGCTTGATTCAGATGGGACAGTTATCCCACGACCTAATGTATGTGTGTATGCTCAACCTAAAAGCAGAACAACTGTATCTAGTACGACTGTCCCATAAAGGTGGATTAACCTTGACCTGTGAAAGTACTCTGCTTGCCGACTGGGCAAGTCGTGGTTGACCTCGTAGCTCTCAGAGTCCTTGGCCAACCAGTGTTCTAAAGACACTTCAACAGCACTCCTGCCAGTCCAGAGGGCAGCTGCTGCTCCACAATGGCCTCAGTATTACCTCCGTGTCCAGACAAGTCCCACATACCCTTAGGAGGGCTGGATCCACAACTCTGCCTTGCAGTCCCTTCTACCTGAGCTGCACGGTCCTAACGCCCCCTGGCCACAACTACCACAATGAGTTCTGTTAGTGTTATTATGTTCACTCCTCCCCATCCAATGTGCCACCCAGGGCTGGCAAGATGACATGATCAGAATGACAGGCACCGGGTCCTAGAGTGAGTGGCACTTGATGATGTCACCTGGCCCTCATAACTAAGCCACACAGTAGCTGCTAACCCAGCCCATAGCTGAATGAGGCAGCTGAGGCTCACAGAGGCTTAGTCTTTGCTCGGTGTTCCTGTGGACCAGGCAAGGAAGACGTGATTTGGACTCAGGACTGAGGACAAGGCTCCACGCTTAGCCCCACACAGCTGTTGGTTTCCTTTGCTGTGTCAGAGTCAGTTCTGTTTCCTTCCGTATTGCCTCAGATCCTGGCTAACCTCTCTGTTGTGCTCCGTGAAGATCCCTCCAGGCCTCCCTGCCTCCATCTATGGCTTCATCTCAACCCTGCACCTGCAGCCACGCTAATCTTTCTCCCCTGTGGCCCTCAGTCCGCAGTGCAGCACACAAGGCCTTTGCAGGCCTCTCTCCACCCATTCACGCTGCCTCGCTCACTACCAACAGCTTGGTTGCTCCCTGGGAAAGCCCACCCCTTGCCTCCATGGCCATAAGGTCTAGACTGGGCAAGGGATGGCTAGAAATACCTCACCACCTCACAGACAAGCAAGCTGAGGCCCACACGGGACCTGGTTCACACCCAAGTCACCCTTGTCTGGAGAGGTGAAGACCTGGGCAAATCCAGTCTTCACTTCCCAGACCAAGGGTCGGCCTGAGGGAAAGGATTCCCTGCCCACAGCATGAGGCCCCTGGGTTGTTTAACTGCTTCTCAGAGGTTTGTCCTGAAGCCGCTAGGTTGGTGTCTAGTTCCTAGCTCCTTCCGGCAGACCAGAGCCCTCCAGGCACCAAGCACAGTACCAAGCATACGGCAGGGACTCAGTAAAAGCATACTCATTGATAAGTAGTGACTCCAGGGTCAGCCACACCCACGCCTGTCAACACTGTGTGTGCACGCCTTCCTGGAGTTGGGAGGCTGGTCACAGGCTCCAGATGACCAGTTCCTCAGGGTCCTACAAAGCAGGGCCGGTGGGACTAGTGGAAGATTACTGGACTCTCTAAGCGGAGAGCCCCCTTCACCTCAGCACCTGAGGTGGCTTCTCAGACTTTGGTAGTGACTGACCCATAGAGCCAGAGTGAAACCAGCATCCAAATGTGCCCAAGAGGGCCCAAGATGGGAGTAGGCCTGTCCTTATCCAGTCTGGGTGGGGTGTTAAACATGACTGCTGGGTGGGACGCTCTGGGAGGGCGCCACCTGGAGGTCAAATCCAGCAGTGCTCAGTGGGAGAGGTTCCTGATTTACCAGGAAAACGACAACCAGGGCTAGAATGAAGGGGGAGTGGGGGTGCGGACGGGACGCGATTGGCAGGAAGAGGTAGGTGGAGAGGATGGAAGGAGTGAGGGAAGCCGGCATGCAAATGCTATGGCATTTTTATTTTCTGGTTTTGAACCGGAAAATTCCAAAACGGCAGTAGGGTTTCTGTGAATGGCAGAGCAGTAGCTGCGCTCTATTCTGCCAAGTCACAAGTCCCACAAGCTGCGATTCCAGGCTGCCTGGTGCTGTTGCCTTCTTACTTCCTAGTCTGTGGAGGCAACGCCCCTGCTGCCCAGGGAGGCTGTGCGGACAAAGGCTATGTGGCTGGTGATCATCCCTCCGGTACCCGGCCTGCCTTTTCTTAATGGGCCAGTTGATGGCGGTTAATTACTAAACAGATGTTCAGTGGGTCTCCTGGAGAACGCAGCGCCCCACAATGGCCTCTAGGAGGGTAGGGTGGCAGCACTGAGCTGCTGAGGTGACCCCAGTGACAGGCTCCCTAAGGAACAGTCGCTCCTGTAGTTAGTTAGCCACGAGGCACAAGCTCTTCTCGGAGAGGGCAGTTTTTCAGCCTGGCGATTTGAGTCAGCTGCACAGCACAGGTGCAGGCCGCCTGGCCCCTTCACTGGCCCCGCCCAGCAGTTGTGCAGCAGGGAGCTAACTGAGGCAGCCCCCCTTTTTTTCCTGGCCTAAGATCAACAGCACAGACTGGCTTTTCCACAGGGCCTGACGTATGGTCCAGCTCTGCGCTTCTGAGGCCCACCTGAATGGTGCCTCCCGAGCTGGAGAACAGACCACCGTGACATCCCCAACTGCTTGTATTCCCTCTGGACACATCCCAGAGTGTTTCACGGGCGCCTCCATGCCGCCTGCTCTTGCAGCTGAGGACATGGAGCCACGCAGGACAGACACCTCCTGCTCTCCATTCCCATATCCGAATTGTCTGCTGGCTTTGTTCTTTCAGTCTGACCAGCGAGCCCACCTACCACCATTTTCAGGGCTATGCCACCCATACTCCCCTTTCACCCACCCCTCCCCACTCTAATGCAGGCTCCAGAGGGAGCCTCACAAGCCAAGGAGGCCATGACCTCAAGACAGTCCCTTCACTCTCCAGCACCGTCCACAAAGCTGCCAGCCCCACCTCATTTGCTGCCACCCCAGGCTCAACCTTACGATGCCGGGGCCCGCATCCCAGCCCACCAGGGGCTGCAGCCCATCACTGTTCAGGCTCTGCCCTGCTTCCAGCATAACCCTCCTGCTCTCTCCCACACTGCCCATCCCTATCCTACCCTACCCTACCCTGGCACTGGGCTCGGCCCTCTTTCCTTGCTGCTGCCTCTGTCCGTGCCCTGCTCCCTGAGGGTGAAATCAATCCCCTCTCTTTGTGCCCCCACCACTCAGTCCAGTGCCAGCCCAGGGTGGGCATTCAAAGAGCACTGGATGAACTGGTCTGAACTAGTCTGTCAGTCTGTACTCCACAGACTTCAAACTCGCCTCTAGCCATTTTCTGCCCTATTGCACCAGTATGTTTAATTTAATCAGTCCACGCCCTTAAACCGAGCAGGAGGAAGACTTTACACAAAAAAGAGAGGAACCTTTTCCAGGAGGCCAGCAAATGGAGGGCAGCATTGGGCAGGGTCCCTGCAATGGCGCCACATACCCACCCCCAGTCTCACAGCCCCTCACCCTTCTCAGGGTCCTTCAGACTGGAGCGGACGGTCTCCACTGCTTTCTCTATCTCTTCACCATTGCAGACATTGAGCTGGACGGTTCTCAGGCGGTCGCTCTTTAAGCTGTCCAGCTCCTCGACCCCGGCATCACCTTTGTCCTGGGGGAGAGAGGGCTGTGGTCACCTCTGTCCTTCCTACCCTAGGCAGGCTCTGGACTTAGGACCCGGCCCAAGTAGGGACTGACTCTAATCCCCTGCAAAGTCTGAGGCTTACACTGACACAGGTATGTGAATGTTCACAGTAACACTATTCAAAATAGCCAACGGTCAAGCCAATTTTTATAAATATCCTGAACGAGTGTTTATTTTTATGGAGGTTTTTAAAAATGCAGTTTGGGGCTGGAAAGATGGCTCAGCAGTTACGAGTACTTACTGCTCTTGCAGAGGACTTGGGTTTAGTCCCAGCACCCACACAGTGGTTCACAACCATCTTTAACAGCAGCTCCAGGGGATTTGACACCCTCTTCTGGCGTCTGGGGGCACCAGATACACATGTGATACACATATATGTAGGCAAAACATCCATACACGTAAAAAATAAATCTCAAAAGTTTTTAATCTAATTTATCTAGGGTACAAATGAACAAAGACTGTAGTATATCCATATAATCAAGTAACATTCTGCAGAAAAAAATGAACTATGGCACAATATAGATGGCTCTCAAAATCATGCTAAGGTCAGGTGTGCTGGGGCACGCCTTTAATCCCAGCACTTGGAAGGCAGAGGCAAATGGATCTCTGTGGGTTCTTGGGCAGCCCAGAGCTGCACAGTGAGTCTCTGTCTAAGAACAAACAGCAACACATTGTGCTACGTGAAAGACACATAGTAAAAAGACCCGGTAACTTTGAGTCCAGTGTGAGGCAAGTCTAGGGGGATGGAAATCAGTGACTGCCCAGGGCTTGAGGTGTGTGTGTGTGGCATGTCAGCGTATAACTGAAAAGAACCAAAGGAAAAACACAGAGCCAGGAAAATGTCCTAAAAGTGACCTGGGGAGGTTGCATAACTCTCTGAACCGGGGGACAGTCCCCTAGTTACATCTGCAGTCTCGCGTCCTAGTACTTCCCTTCACAGACCCTAAATGTTACTTGATGTCCTAAAGTAGTGAGCTCTACACTGTCACGTCTGTGCTTGGGATGTCCCCTCTGTCTGTCAGGTCATCTTTCCCAGTCTCCATCTATGACAGCACTACTCCTTCCCCACAGCCCTGAACAAGTCACCTCCATGTCAAGTCAGAGCCAATCACTTCCCTCTCTACAGCGCTCCCCCCACCCGGAACATTCTGGAAAGACTTGAGAAGGCTTTCATTGTAGCTATTCAGCTGTGTCTGTGTGTGGTGTCCTCTCACCACCGGATGGAGAGTTCTTTGGCTGGTTTTCCGTCAGTTTGACCCAAGCTAGAGTCCCCTGAGAGGAGGGAATGTCAACTGAGAAAATGCCTCCGAAAGATCGAGCATGCCTATAGGCTGTTTTCTTAGTGACTGATGTGGGAGGCCCAGGCCATCGTGGGTGATACCACTCCTGGGCTGGTGGTCCTGGGTTCTATAAGAAAGCAGGTTGAGCAAGCCGTGAGGAATGAGCCAGTAAGTAGCACCCTCCCATGACCTCTGCACCAGCTCCTGCCCCCACTGATTTCTACATAGAAATGTGATATGGAAGTGTAGGCAACATAAACCTTTCCTCCCCAGCTTGCTATTGGTCATGGCAACAGTAACCCTGACTAAGATACTGGATCTGGGACCAGTCTTACTCCACAGCATCTAGCTGAGTGTCAGGCCCATCATTTGACCAGTGAATGAATGGCAGAGCAATGGATGGGTGGACATAAGGATTAGCGGATGGATAGATGGATGCACCCATGCAAAAAGCTATGCAGAACAAATGAGACTGAAGTGGGAACGGTGTAGGCTGTTTTAGCAACACATATTAGAAAAGCATGTGCATGTGAGTGCACACACACACACACACACACACACACACACACACAGAGCTTGCACAATGGTAAAGAAAATGACCCAGTCTTACCTTCAGTAAGCATCCAGCAAATACAAGGAAACCTTTTGAGTGTAGATGTTTGGCCAAAGAGAACCCAAATCCAGAGTCACAGCCTGTGACCAGGACAGCTTTGCCGCTAGCCTGTTTTAGAGGGTTAGACCCATGTTAGGAACCCAGGATCCTGAGGTAGGGTAACCAGCCCGCCCCATCCCTCTACACAGTAATATTAATGCATGCGGGGTGGCCAACTCTCAGCTTCCTAGCTGGCTCTCGCTGTCTGGAGACTTAGAATCAGGAGACCAAGTTCCAGCCTAGACTCAGCCAGCAACAGTACTGCCCGGGAAATGACTCCTGCTTCCTCAGTGTCTTCATCTACAGTCACCAGTGCTCACTGTCCTTGTCACTTCCTCAAGGCCAGGCTTTTCCAGTGCTTCCTGAGCGCAGAGTACTGGGCATATACTCTGTTCCTCTCACGCCCCCATCCCCAACCATAACCCCATAGAACTGTGGTTCTTAACTTTCCAATGTTGCCACCCTTTAATACAGTTCCTCATGTTGTGGTGACCCTGAACCATAAAATTATCTTTGTTGCCACTTTATAACTGCAATTTTGTTCCTGAAAAATGTAAATATCTGGGTTTTTTCAATGATCTTAGGCAACCCCTGTGGAAGGGTGGTACAACCCCACCCAGTCTCCCCCAAGGGGTCATGACCCATAGGTTGACAACTGCTGCTGTAGAGTAAGTGTGATTATTCCATGACACCAGTGAGGAAACTGAGTCACTTTCAAAATGCCCAAAGCAGTTAATGGTAGGCCTGGAACACAGACGGGGCTGAGAGACCCCAGAGCTTCACTGAACCACAGCTTTTTGCTGCCCGGCAGGCCTACCACAAGCTCCCTGACGGGAGGGATGGAATGGTCATGACTGCTCCCATCTGCACGGGGAGAGGGTCTACCCGCTGATGAAGGGCCTCAACGAAGGGTTAAGTGAAAATACTGCTCAGTGTCCATTCAGAAGGTAGCTCGCAGCCTACAGTCCCAAAAGGGCCCTCCCCAACCTAATGGCTGCCCACTCACCTCATCTGCCTCACTGGCATAAGTCCGTCGGGTGGATGCAGTGAAGGATGCTGGGTAAAACAACAGTGTGTGCCTGTAAGAAAACAGCAAGCCATGGATTCAAGGAACAAGTCCCTCTCCAGACCCCACTCATGGGCAGAAACATCTTGGAACAGCCTCAACCACCATGTAGGCTAAGGGAGCACTGCTTCTCTCCCACTGCAGCGCTGGGTCAGCTCTGTTACTGTTAGAGACCCCTCCCCACCAGGAGCCAGGCAGGCAGGCAGTACGCCAGCCTTCAAGCTGCCACCTCAGCTACTAGACTAAGGAGATGCCTTCCTGAGAAGAAAGCCAGCCCAATGGCTACTTTTCTTAGGAGGCCATGCCAAACCTTGGCTGGCCCTTGGCCTACTCCAATAATATTCATTTTCTGCTTCCAAATGTAATCAAAAGTATGCATAAGCTTTCAGAGAACAGTTCTTTTTGTTTGTTTGTTTGTTTGTTTATTTTTTGAGACAGGGTTTCTCTGTGGCTTTGGAGGCTGTCCTGGAACAAACTCACAGAGATCCACCTGCCTCTGCCTCCCAAGTGCTGGGATTAAAGGCGTGCGCCACCAATGCCCGGCCAGAGAACAGTTCTTTTAAAGCCTTCTCAGGCTGGTGAGACGGCTTAGTGGGTAAAGGTCATTGCTGCCAACCCTGACAGCCCGAGACTCATCACAGAGCCACATGATGCTAGGAAAGAGGACTGATTGGATTGCTGCAGGTTTCCTTCTCACCCGCACATGCGCAAACCCGCACATGCTGGCACCCGCACATGGACACACCCGCACATGCGCGCACCCACATATGCCCGCGTACACGTGCACATTAAAAGTAAAGCCACCTTTAATTTCCGTGTTTCAACTCTCCCTAAGCTCAATGCTGTTTTCCTGATCTTGTTTTTAAACTTTTTATTGTGAGATAATTTCAGACATACACACTGTTTAGAGACAATGCATAGAGCTGGGCTTGGGGGAGGCAGGCTTGTAATGACAGCTACTTGGGAAGATGAAGCAGGAGGATCACAAGTTCAAGGCCATCCTGGGCAACTTGGAGAGACCCTGCCTATCATAAAAAGTAAAAATAGGGCTGTAGATACAGTTCAGTGGTAGAGTGCTTTCTTGTCACATGCAAAACCCTAGATTTAAGAGGGGGATGGGAAGAGGGAGAAGAGAGAAGGAAGACAGGGGAGGGAGGGGAGGGAAGGAGGAGGGGAGAGGGAGAGAGAAGAGAAAAGGAAAAAAAAAAGCAAACAATCAGAGAGATGTTGGGTACCCTTTGCCCAATGCCCATTAATGGTAGCATTGCACAACTGCAATATCACAGCCAGGATACTGACAGAGATACAGCAACAATGTGGAACGTTTCCATCATGTCTTGCATCTTTCTCTTTACCCTTTCCAGAGCCACACCCACCCCACCCCACCCTCTTCAATCTGTTCTCTATCACTACAACTACCATTTCAACAGCGTTAAATCGGGCATGGTAGCTTAATCTGTAATCCCAGCATACAGGGGACTGATGCAAGAAGACTTCTGGGAGTTCCAGACCAGCCTGTACCACAAAATACAGTTCTGCCTCAAAGACACAAAATGGTACCCACAAAGAGAACATTATAAAATGGACCATATAGTACACAGCCTCTGGGTCTGGCTTGTTATACTCAGTGTTGCTCTCTGGAAACTCATCCAGATCACTGGAAGCAAGTTTTCCCTTTTGTGTATAAGTCACCCTCTCTAACTTGGGCAACTGAATGACTATTTACTTTCTGAAGGTCATCTGGGTTGCTTCCACTTTGGATTTATTATGAATAAAGCTTCTATGAATATTCCTAGGCAGGATTTTGTATAAACATGTTTCTCTTGGATAAAGTCCCAGGAGTGTAACCATTGGGTCATATGGTAGGTGTGTACTTTGTTTTAAGAGACTGGGGAGCTGTTTACAGCTCAGGAGCAGTGGAAGCATACTACATTCCCAGAAGAAATGTATGAGGACTGGTTTCTCCACACACTTCTCAGAATCTGATGATGTCACTATTTTTAAAATTTTATGTGTTATTGTTGGTTTTTGAGACAGGGTCTCATGTAGACCAGACTGACTCAAACTGGACAGCGTCCCCCTCAGCATGCCAAGTGCTGGGATTACAGGCCACCCCTTTTTATTTTAGCCATGTCTAAGACTATACATGATTATCTCACTGTGTTTTTAATTTGCATTTCTCTAATAGCTAATGATGTTGACTGTCTCTTCTATATTTATCTACTGCCTGTCTCAGGTCAGATGGCTAATAAAATATCACAGTATGGGTGACTTACAGTCAAGACAGTGGTTTATGAAGGGTGAAAATTTAACAGTTTTGAAAGTTGGGAAGCTCTAACTCAAGGTTTCAGTAGAGATGAGAGCCCACTTCCTAAATTTTTTACTGTGACTTTACTTGGAAGAAGGGGAGTGTGAGGGGGTTGGGGGGTAGGGTGTGTCTTAGACCTCTGTCACCAAGACATTAACCCACTGACGAAGGCTTTGCATCTGTGACCTAACACCTCCTTAGGCCCAACCTATTCCCACCAGCTGGCATGGTCTCTTTTAACTGTCTACTGGAAAGGATTTGGAAACAAACTAGAAGACTCAAGCTCTGCCTTTGAGGGCTTCCAAAGAGGATTCACTCCGAGAGGGTTCATATGCACAGAAGTCTGAGGGGAAAGCCATGCCGCCAGATTGCACTCGCTTCTTCCTGAGGTGCACACTCTACTGCTGCTATCTGATTCCAGCTTCTTCTGCCGTCCAATGTAGACTGAAAACCAGTGATGATTGGGGGTCTCCCAGGCCTCTGGCACTGGCTTGAGACTGCTGAGGCACTGGCTTTATGGCCTGAGCAGGTACTGGGATCTCAAGCTCTCCTATGTGTACACAATGTTGAGACTAGCCAGCTCTACTGTGTAAGCCAATTTAATTCACCCCTTTTGTAAATCATCCCCCTACACTCCTCTAGAGACCAATACACCAGCAGTACAGTGAGTAAGATTTCAGCATTTGGGAGGACACAAGCATACAGACCATAGCATGGCATGGTCATCCTGTGTTTGGCCACATTCTAGGTGGACTCTTTCTTCCTTACTGCTGACCTTTGAACATCCTTTTGATGCTCTAGGTGCCTTTGCTGTCCTGCAGCATAAAAATCTTTTCTCCTACTCTATAGCAGCCTTCTTTTAGTGTCTGTTTTGAGACAGAGTCTCACTATGTAGCCTTAAGTGGCTGGGAAGGAACTTGCTATGTAAATACAGCTAGCTAGCCTTAAACTCACAGAGATCTGCCTCCTTCTGTCTCCCAAATAGGGATTAAAAGTGTGTACTACTGGCCAGGTGGTGGTGGCCCAACCCTTTAATACCAGCACTCGGGAGGCAGAGGCAGGTGGATCTCTGTGAGTTCAAGATCAGCCTAGTCTACAAGAGCTAGTTCCAGGACAGCCTCCAAAGCCACAGAAAAACCCTGTCTCGAAAAACCCAAGGGGAAAAAAGTGTGCACTACCATGCCTGCCCCCTGTTTTCCTCTTACCCAGGGCTACCGCAAGGGAATGTGTTTCATTTTTGATGATGTCTAATCAACCCATTTTTCCTTCTTATGGGACATATGTGACTCCTTACCTAAACTTATCCTCCTTTTTTTTTTTTACCTGAAAGTTTTCCATTTAAGCTCACGGCTCTTTCTGAGTCTATGATGGCGTGAGACAATACTTAGATCAATTAAGATCACGATTCTTTCTGAGTCTATGTTGACGTAAGACAACACTTAGGTCAAAGGATTTGGCTTTGCTTGTGAGTCCCAGCAGCACTGTTTGAAACACTATCTTCTAAATCACTGTTGCCATAAAACACTCAAGCACGCTGTGTGGCCTAGTTCTAGATGCTCTTATCTGTTTTATTGACCTATGTACCCTCACCTCATTTCTCTTTTTGAAAAAAGAAATTATTATTTTATTTCTTTTGCCTTTCCATGCAACTTTTAGAATAACTTCTATACTACAAAATGGACAGAACTCTGGGCTCCATTGCACCCACACTTCCACCTATATAGACTCACAAATTACATGCACATATGTATACACACACACACACACACACACACACACACACACACACACACGTGTCGTGGGTATTCATTCGGCCGATAGAGGTGGAGTTTCTTGTCTGCTGACGTACTCCTTTAAAAGAAAGAGGGAGCAGCTCTCACTCTCTTGAGTGCGAGTCAGAGATCGGATTGCTCCTTCCTCCATTCACCCCAGGGCAATAGGGGAGACCGCACCCACTCTCTACCTTGTTGTTATCTGACAGTGTTTCTTTCTTTCTTTTTTTTTTTTTTTTTGGTTTTTCGAGACAGGGTTTCTCTGTGACTTTGGAGGCTGTCCTGGAACTCACTTTGTAGACCAGGCTGGCCTCGAACTCACAGAGATCCGCCTGCCTCTGCCTCCCGAGTGCTGGGATTAAAGGCGTGCGCCACCAACGCCCGGCTATGACAGTGTTTCTTAATAAACCTTGGAATCCTTTAATTGGGTTCTCCTGCATTCACATACACTTGCCTACACATCCATGCAAATAAGTAAAGCAAATAAGTAAATAGTTATCCTTATATCCCTAGAACAAATATATCTTTTCATGTTATATATTTTAAAAAGATATTGTTGAATTCTACATGCTAATAATTTAAGAGTATTCACAAAGGATATTGGTCTGGCCGGGTGGTGGTGGCACACACCTTTAATCCCAGAACTCTGGAGGCAGAGACAGACACTCGTCTGAATTTGAGGCCAGCTTGGTCTACAGAGAAAGTTCCAGAATAGTCAGGGCTACACAGAAAAACACTGTCTCAAAATATTTAAGAATGAAAGGAAGGAAGGAAGGAAGGAAGGAAGGAAGGAAGGAAGGAAGGAGAGAGAAAGAGAGAGAGGAAGAAAGGAAGGAAGGAGAGAGAGAGAGAAAAAGAGAGAGAGAAAGAAAGAAAGAAAGAAAGAAAGAAAGAAAGAAAGAAAGAAAGAAAGAAAGAAAGAAAGGATATCGG